TTGATTGCATGTTCGATCTATCTCTGCCTGTAAGAGTTGGTAGAAATCATCTATTTCTTCTTCTTTGGCTCTGGTTGTTGGTGCATATATCTGGATGATAGTAGTGTTCACTGGACTTCCTTGTAAGCGTATGGATATAATCCTATCACTCACAATGTTGTACTGCAAGATGGACCTAGAAATTTCTTTTTTATGGATAATCAAGTGGAAACCCATTTGACCTGTAAATTTTCATTCAAAGCACAATAAAAAGTTTAAAAAGACACTATTAAGTAAAAACATAAAAGGAAGGAAATATGGAGACGAGAAGAAGTTCAGGCTGAAGAACATATGTAAAGGTCCTGTAGTTAAGAATATGGGGGTCATTATGATTGGAGTGGGGTGAGTGAAGGGGAGAGTGAGAGGAGATGAGATCAAGAGATATGATGGGCAAGATCACATAAGGCTGCATAGATTATGGTGAGAATTTTCACTTGGAGAAAGGTACAGCAACAGAAGACTTCTAAGTTGAGGATATCCCTGATCTGGTGGACATTAATAAAACCCTACAGCTGCATGTAGAGGACAGAGAGGTATGTGTGTGAGTGCAGAACAGGGAGGAAGCTGCTGAGTAGTCCCAGGGGAGAGGAGAGAAGATAGAAGAGGATGAGGGTCTGGGATAGGGTGGAGGATCAGCTTCTGGAAATATCTGGAGTTGGAGGGGCTGGTCCAAAAGGATGTGAGGTAAAAGGCAAAGCCACCCAGCCCTGTTCAGGTATGTGATTATGAGGATACTAACAGAGAGCTAGGTGTAATAGCCAAGCCAGGACATCAGAGCTGGGGAGGACAGGGTCCTTACTGGCTCCTGAGGAGTTCCTGGAGAACAGGTTCTGAGAGGACTGGAGGTGTCCACTGGCAGCTTTGTTACCTAGACATCTTGTGGTCATGTTTCATGGTGATGAAGAGTCCAGATCCTACTGCCAGGCTGCCTGGATTTCAAGTCTAAACTCCACCACTCACTTACTGTGTGTCCTTGTACAAGTGGCTTAACTCTCTGAGCCTAGCAAACACTGTGTAAGCCTTGCATGCTGGTGATGATCAAGACAAGAGTGTCGACAATATCATCCTTCTAAGTCACCCCTTACAGAGGGCAAGAATGGAGAATGGGCTGATATCTAAGGTCCCAGAAAGAGAACAGCCACTACTACCACTGTTGTTGTTATGTGCTGTTAAGTCGCCTGTGACCTTATGTACAACAGCCCTATGCCCTGCTCTATCCTGTGCCAATCTTATTGTCTCTGACACACATAACTCCATTACCCCAGTCACTGAATCATTGCATCTTATTGAGGCTCTTCCTCTCCTGTGCTGTCCCTCCACCCTCCCAAGCATGACGTCCCTCTCCAAGGACTGTTCCCTCATTGCAATATGCCCAAAGTATGTCAGATGAAGCTTCAGAATCCTTGCCTCCAAGGAGTAGCCTGGTTTCACCCTCTCTAGGACAAGCCTGTCTGTTCTCCTAGCAGTCCATGGTATATTCAATATTCTTCTCCAGCATCACAGCTCAAAGGCATCAATTCTTCTTCTATCATCCCTAGTCATTGTCCAGGTCTCCAGTGCACAGCATGTGACTGCAAAGAACCTGGCCTGTAACAGAGAACTGTCAGAGTGCAGGCTGGGTTTAGAAGGGGTCGTGGTACCAGGGATATGTTAGCTAATGTTAGATGGATGTTGGCTGAAAGCAGGGAATACCAGAGCAATGTCTATCTGTATTTCATTGACTATCCAAAAGTGTTTGATTGTGTGGACCGGCTAACCCTGAGAAGCATGGGAATCCCAGAACATTTGATTGTGCTTATGCGAAACCTATACTTGGGTCAGGAGGCAGTCGTCAGAACTGAGGAAGGGAACACTGTATGTTTCAAAATTGGGAAGGGTGTACGCCAGTGATGTGTCCTGTCTCCATACCTTTTCAATCTATATGCAGAACAGATTATCCGGAGGTTGGGCTCAATGAGGACAAATGTGGCATTAGGATTGGAGGAAGACTCATCAATAATCTGTGTTATGCAGATAACACAACCCTGCTTGCTGAAATTGAGGAGTACCTGAAGCGCTTGCTGCAGGCCAAGGACTGCAGCCTTCAATATGGCCTGAAGCTCAACATCAAGAAAACAAAGATTCTTACCACTGGGTCAATTGGCAGCATTGTTATGGATAGTGAAGGGATTGATATTGTACACAGCTTTAGTTTGCTTGGCTCCACAGTCAACACTCTTGGCACCAGCAGCTAGGAAATCAGAAGATGTATTGTGATGGGAAAGACTGCTGTCAGAGACCTCTCCAAAGCACTGAAGAGTAATGATGTCAGTCTGGAGACTAAGGTGCACCCGATACAGGCCATGGTCTTTGCAATCACTACGACCACTATAAAACGAAATTGGTCTGGTCTTCAGATCTGTAGGAAAGGGGGACAGACAAAGTCCCTGGGCCCGCTTCCCCATCCTTCCCTTTTTGCATAGTCTTTGCTCACTCTCTGCTCCGTGTCTCACATCCTTCCCCGTGACCATCTGTTCTTCCTCTCCCTGCCCAAGCCTCCAGCCCCTCTAGCAATGCTAGCGAGCTCCCAGATCTCCCCCGCTCCCGGTTGGGGGTAACGACGCATGCGCGGTCGGCGCCCCTCCCTCTCCACCCCCAGCTCCTATCGGCGTTTGGGTCTCGTCCCTTTCTCTCTGTCTCTCTCTCTCCTCCCCCATTTCGTCCCCTGAACCCCATTCTTCCTGTGGGCTCCCCCGCCCCGGACTATCGTCTCCAGCCCCAGCCAACAGAGGGTAAGATAGGAAGAAGAGGGACCCGTGGAGAAGGGGAGGGGCGAAGCATCCTGCATCCGAGATAAACAAACCCGGGGAGGGGGCGGCAGAGACGGAGCGACCTGACGGGAGGAGAAGAATGGGAACTGAGGCCCGCAGAGAAGGGCCTTCTGATGGGGAATGAGAGCTCTTTATGGTTTGCTCGAGATCCAGAGCTGGGGGGGCGGAGGCCAGGCTGACCCGGGGGGAGCTTCTGGGTGCACAGCGCCCGGAGCTTGGGGAGTGCCCGTTCCAGCTGAGCTCTGTCTCCAGGATTTGCGTGAAGGCCGCCCCCAACGCTGCACTCGCCCCGCCGGGGGCCACTGAAGACCATGACTAAGACAGATCCTGCCCCTATGGCCCCACCGCCCCGTGGGGAGGAGGAAGAAGAGGAAGAGGAGGAGAACATCCCAGAGGCACCCAGCCCCACCCAGGAGCGCCGGCAGAAGCCTGTGGTGCACCCCTCTGCTCCTGCCCCGCTCCCCAAGGACTACGGTAACTATTCTCCACCCCCTGGAATCTGGCTGGGACCCTTGGGTGGCCAGGGAGGGTGGACTGAGTGCTGGTGATGGTGGAGGAGGGGTTCTGGTGGCTTTCAGGATGAGACCCTCTCATGAATTCACCTCTTGACGCGCAGAATTGGAAGAATCCCAATCTTTGATTCATGACACATCATTTGTTCATTTAGTCATTCAACAAACCTGCTAGGTAGGACCTCGGCTTTATCTTCGTAGCTGGTGCCACAGCTCTGAGCAAGCAGCCACAGTTTTTGCCCTAAAGGAGCTTACAGACCTGAGTATTAACATACAAGTAAATCTAAAATGATAAGCATAATTACCAGACATGATGAAGATTGTTGCAAAGATGTCATGGGGCATCCTCATCATCTGATTGCCTCTAACATCATGAAGGGATGTTGCTATGTCCCCATGTTCCAAACCTTTCTACCAATTCTGACACCAGTGGCCCCTCCCACAAACATCCTCTGCTTTTCTCCTGGACTCCATAATTTGTTGCAATGACCAAACAGAATTTACAGACCATACACACAGTTATGGGATTCTTAGGGAGGTAACAAATTACAGTTAAGGATCAGGAGCAGCTCAAGATACAGTCCTGTGGTTCAGGTAGCATTTTTTCCGTCACATCCAAAGGCAAGCTGCTCTCTGGCCCTCAGTTCCTTGGCTTGGCCTCTCTGCCCTGTGTGGGCAAGCATTACAGAGCTCTTTAGTTTTGCTGATCAAGTGCTTAAAAGCATCCCACTCTGCTAGCAAGCCTAGACCCAGAGTGGGTCGGCAAACCTAACTCCCTGGCAAATGTCTGAAGGCCCTCACTCTGCCAGCAAGCTTCCTTCCTGCCCAGGGACACTCAGCTTTCTCAGGGGAAAGTCACTGCTCTGTCTTGCTGATCTCTGCTGCTTCTACCGTCTCTGGTTCTAGCTGTCTGGTGCCATCTCTCCAGTGGTACAGCTCTTTATCTAGGGCTGAAGAGATCTCAGGTCCTAAGGATGCACTCAAATGCCTGGCTGTCCTCCCTTTTCTGCCTCTCAATGGCTCATTTTTCTGCCTAGTGGGATGGCAAGTCTGACTAATCCTCACATTAGTGTTCATACATCTTATATGCATAGTCCCATTCAAAAGTGCCATGTACTTACATTATCACAAGCTATCTGATCCCTTTAGTGGGCTGCTGACGCCTCACATTTGCATAGCTCTACCCAGACCCTCAACAAGATGGATTAACAAAGTGACTGTAAGAATGGTCTCTCGTGGTCAGAGCTGATGAGGATGGCATGATGGGGCAGGCTTCAGATCTCCACGGATGTTACTTGCTAGCACTTACCAACAACAGCATCTTGTGGGAGTTACAAAAAGTACATGACTACAAGAGCTATACTAGATCAGTCACCGATTGCAACTGTCCTCACCAAGAATAAGATTATTTTTGAGACCTGATTTTCCTGAGGAGACTTGGGTGTGAATTGGGCATTAACCAGGGAAAAAGTGAAGGGGAGAGGATGTCAGGAAAGGGAACCACAGGAACAAAGGCCTTGAACTGGAGCAATCTAGAGTTGAAATGGTGACTTCTTGGGAAAATGGGAATTGTCTGATCCTGCTCCCGTCTTGGAAGAAGTGCAGTTGGGTGCTCCTTCAAGGCAGGCTTGGTGCCACAACAACTCACATCTCACCCAGGCATCTTATCAGAAGGGTCAAGTTCTTGAACAAAGAATGTCATGCTGAGAAAAGTAGAAGGTCAGCAAAAGAGAGGAAGACCATGAACAAGTTGGATTGAAAGGTGACTGCAGCAATGAGTTGTAGAGATTGTGAGGTTGACACAGGATTGGGCAGGGTTCAGCCTGCTCATAGGGTCACTATGAATGGGGGTTGATTGGGCAGCACCTACCAGCAATAATTCTGGCAAGTCTTGTGATGGGAATCGAATTGGGAGCCATCCAGCTGCAGTCCCTGCTCTCAGGAGTTCTTGTTTTAAACAATCGAGTTGGAACTGGCTCATAGTTGACCCTTCCAGCAGGTTTTCAGAGGCAGTAAATTGCACCTCTCTTTCTCCAGTGGAGCAGTTGGTAGATTTGAACCGCGTAACTTTGGATTGGCAGCACAACTCCCTACCACTAGGTCACCAGATATCTCAGGGGAGATGAACAGTAAGTAGGTGACCAGACAGGTCAGATAGATACACTTGAATTGGGGCAAGTGCTGTGAAAGAAAAGATGGAGATGCAATAGAGAATGGCTGGTAGACAGCTCTTGAAAAAGAGTAGTCAAAGCAGATTTTCTGAGAAGAGAGAGGTGTTTAAGCTGAAACATAGAGCATGAGGAGTTAGCCATGGCAAGAACTGGAGAAAGAAAATTCCAGGCACAGAACAGGAAGTACAAATGCCCTGAAGTTAGATTGCATTTAGAAGAGAAAGGTCATAGAGAGTAATCAGGTGAGAGGTGGGTAATAGTCAAATGGGAAAGGGTCTCAAAGCCACCATGAGGCCTTTGGATGTCCTCTGTGATGAGGGGACAATAGTGGGATGGAGGTTTAAAAACACAGTTATGGTGGGTCTGACTTACAAGTCTTTTTCAAAGCTCCCTCTGGCTACTGAGAGCCAGGACTCAGCCAGAGTTGGATAGAGAAGAAGCTTGGCTGAACATCTGCAGCACTGTGAGGTTCAGAGAGAAGGCACCTGCCAGGATGCGACAGGAAGCGTGGTATCTGTAGGCATGTCATCTGCTCGAGCTGGACCTGAAAGGCTCCAAAATTGACTTCAGTCTGACAGAAGAATAAAGAAGTCATTATGGGCTTTCTCCCAGGAAATTCTTCTTTGGAAATGTAGCTGGGTGGGACTGGGGCCTGTCATCTAGAGGGAAAAGGGGTGAGGCTGGGACTCCCAAGGAATCCTGTTTCTAGAACAAAGAGAGTTTGGTTCACAGAGTATAGAGGAATCTGGAAATAGGGTTTAAGACAGAGAGGGCTAAGGTTGGTTCCATGGGGTAATCACATCCTTTGTCGTAGTAGAGATTGAAGGGCACCTACTAGGGACAGGCACTGTTCAGGATATAGGGGTTAAGGCCGTGAACAAGGCAGGAAAAAACCATGATGCTCACATTCTAATGAGGGTGACAAGTGAGAAAGGGATGGGAGAAGAAGGGACAAAGGGAGCTGGAGGAGTAAATAAATTATAGTGAGTAAGGCTATGTGCTATGATTTAATTATGGAGTAGACAGAGGAGGACTGTGGTGCAGGGAGGTCAGTGGAAGCATCTCTGAGGAGATGACATTTGACTTGCATGCAAAACCTGGTGGAGATCTATGGGGAGAGGAGGAGGAGAACGGACAAGGAATGGGTGTCAGCAAGTGCGAAGGTCCTGAGGCAGAAATTTGCTTGGTTTGTTGGAGAGACAGAGGAGGCTGGTGTGGTTGAGGAAGGGTGAGTGAAAGGGAGAGGACAGGGCAGGCATGGGGTACAGACTGAATTTATGAACCACATTAAGGACTGGTTTGTACTCTGAGCACAGTGGAAGCCAAAGAAGGTTCTGAGTCAAGGGAGACTCATACATGGGTTTTGAAAGGAGCGCAGAGACTACTTCCTGGATGTAGTACTTCCCTGGGCCCTGTGTGATCAAATTAGTCATTTACTCATTCATTCAGCACTCACTGCCTTCCCACCACTTGCTCAGCGCAGTGCTGGATGCTGACGTTGCCATAGAGAGTTAACTCATCACTGCTCTAGTCCTCCAGTCTACGGGGGAGGATGAGAGTTCCTCCAGGGGTCACTCTGGTTGACCACAGGTTGGGCCTGAAATGTATTTGAAAAATCGGGAGATTCTTCTGAAAAGCCAAGGCTTCTGGAATTTTCATTTTTACTCTTGGAGATTCGGACAAAATGCATGTTTGACAGGGTCACAGTGGACCATGGCAGCAGCCTGTTGAGTGTATATACTCTGAAATGTCCAAACCTTTCCCTGTGTCCCTTCAAGAGGCACAGCTTGCCCTGTGAGAACTCCTAGACCTCCTGGATTTTCAAGACACTGGGCATCCAGAGTTTTAGGTGGAACATGATTTTGAAACTTTATGCTGGTCATAGTACTGGGGTGTTGACTTAAGCTGTTGAGACCCCACATTAGAAGGTATTAAAAACAAAGACCTGAAGTTCCCTTGCCCCAGTGGTCAGCTTGTCTGGGGTGACTCTGGCCTTTTACCACCCCAGCCTTCACCTTCTTCGACCCCAATGACCCGGCGTGCCAGGAGATTCTGTTTGACCCCCAGACCACCATCCCTGAGCTGTTTGCTATCGTGCGCCAGTGGGTTCCCCAAGTCCAGCACAAGATCGATGTCATTGGAAATGAGGTAAGAATTTTGGGAACCAGAGAGAGCAGGGTGGAGTCTCCCACATGTCTGCATAACCCCCTGTCACCTGGCACCCCCAGATTCTGCGTCGAGGATGTCATGTGAATGATCGCGATGGGCTGACCGATATGACACTACTTCATTACGCATGCAAGGCTGGGGCCCATGGAGTCGGTGAGGGCCCAAGACCTCCCCCAATGAGCCCTAACTCCCAGTCCTCAGACCACTAGAACCCAGATTAAGATGCCTGCCCTGAACCCTTAGCCAGAAACCCCACCCTGAGACCCAGGGTCCTAAACTAACCTGGATGGACCCTCACGCAGGGGACCCTGCGGCAGCAGTACGCCTGTCGCAGCAGCTGCTGGCACTGGGGGCCGATGTGACCCTGCGCAGCCGCTGGACCAACATGAACGCCCTGCACTATGCCGCCTATTTTGACGTACCTGACCTTGTGCGAGTGCTGCTCAAGGGAGCCAGGCCCCGAGGTGAGGGTGAGGGTCCCTGGACTGAGGGAGCTTGGGGTGGTGATGACCCCAGGTGAAGGAGGCAGGGTATTGAGTGATGGGCAGAACTGAAGTCTGGCTGGGAGGGAATAGGGCACCTGAGATTGAGGGGGAGGTTGGAGGGAAGTGTTACAAGGGCCTGGCAAGATCTGGTGAGGGAATGGGTGAGACTGGGGCTCTGAAGCAGGGGGCAGGGCCCCTCCAAGAAGAGGCACTAGCAGTTTGGGGGCTCAGATAACTGTGACAGGCTAACGGTTTCTCCTCTTGCCTGCCTCTCAGTGGTGAACTCCACATGCAGTGACTTCAACCACGGCTCCGCCCTGCACATCGCTGCCTCCAGCCTGTGCCTGGGTGCTGCCAAGTGTCTGCTGGAGCACGGTGCCAACCCCACGCTTCGGGTACTGTCCCCGCCCCCAAATCCAAATCCCTTCCCCTTCGGCCTCCCTTCTGGCCAGCAAAGGGAAGGGTCTGAAATTTTATTAAGTATCAGGTGAAGTCTGTTATGAGCCCTGGTTTACAATCACAAACCTAGGCAGAGGGAGGAATATCTTCCCCCCCCCCCCACTCCCCCTCCCTTCCCCCCCCCCCCCCCCCTCCCCCCCCCCCCACTCCCCCGCCCAAGTTCTGGCTGATCCTGTGGTTAGAAAGACAGCATTTGGAGATCATGAAGTAGAGCTGAAGCCCTCTATGAATGCAAGAGTTCAAAGTTTCTTTGAAAACCTCCCCCAATCCCTGTAATCCCAAATCTCATCTCCAATACCAATCTCCTTGCATTGTAGGCGTGATGTTTTGGGGGGACATGGCCTTGTTCCTGAGGCCCTTTCTTTGTTCCTTACCCATTGGTCCAGCGTTTGATCCCTGATTTCGTATCAATCACAGTAGCCTTGCCTCAGTGCTTATGCTTCTACGTGGTACATTTTTGGGTTTAGGTGGGGAGAATGTGGCCTCCCCAGCTGTGTGGCCCACAAAATTGAAATGTCCCTCAACCCCCTGCTGACTTCACTCCTGTCCCGACTTCATTGGGAGGTTATACATCTCCCCAACCTGACACAGACCTCCTCCACCCAGGGCCTCAGGGGAGAGGACTATCCTGAGTATGTGATCTGAGTCTTAATGACCCGTCCCTTCTAAGTTCCACGCTGGTCCACATTATGACAGGTCTTGTCCCTGCTTCACTCCAGACACCAAGTCTCTGGGGGCCTGGCCTCCCTGGAGGCTCAGCCTGTGTCCCTGAGTCTCTGCTCCCTTTCTTCCCACTGTCCCTAGAACCGAAAAGGACAGGTGCCAGCGGAGGTGGTTCCTGACCCTATGGACATGTCCCTGGATAAGGCGGAGGCAGCGTTGGTGGCCAAGGAACTACGGACACTGCTGGAGGAGGCAGTGCCACTTTCTTGTGCCCTCCCCAAGGTTACACTGCCCAACTATGACAACGTCCCGGGCAACCTCATGCTAAGCGCGCTGGGCCTGCGCCTGGGAGACCGTGTGCTGCTCGATGGTCAGAAGGTCAGGGATGTGTGCTGGTCAGGGAGGGCCCAGTCCCTGGTACGAATGCAGACTTCCCTTTGCTTGCCCTTTATTTCATCGAGTACTTGTTCGGTGAGCCTCGTCTGTGCCCCAGCCAATGCTGAGTCCTCGGTCTAGAGGGCATAATATATACTTATCACTCACAGTGACGGTGTGGACCGGGCCTGGCTGTGATGCACCAGGGGTCCTGCTGGACCTTGTGGTGGCTTCACTTTTACACCCCGAGTGGTCAAGACTTTGGGAAAGTGGAAGTCAGTGATGAGGGTGGGTAGGATAGAGCACCTCCCAACTTGGTGAGGAGTGAACAAGGGGAAGAAGAGGAAAAGGGGCCCTCAGATAGGAAGAGCCTGAAAATTGGAGAGATTGTATTCATCCCTTTGTTCAGCTTTCTTTCATTACCTAGTATCCCTCTGGCAATGCTGGACCTAATGCATCCCTGGCAATAAAGGGCTCTCTGTCCCAGTCCTACTCTTACAGACCTCCATTAGCAAGGAAGGAGGGGCAGTCAATAAATTAAATCCATGTTAAAGATCATTCCTAAGAGTAATGTTGTTGTTCCATGCCTTTGTGATGGAACTGACCCGTAGCTGACCCTCCAGCGGGTTTTCAGAGACATTAACATTGCATGGGAGGAGACTGCCACCTTTCTCCCACGAAGCAACTGGTGCATTCAAACTGCCTGCTTTTGAATTGGTAGCACAGCTCCTTACCCAGTAGGCCACCAAAACTCCTTGGCGGGGGGCATGGTAAGGAGAGCTGTGCTGGATGAGGTAAACCATCTCTGGCTGAGGGCAGGGGTGGTTTTAGCTTCAGTGATCCAAGAGAGCCAGTCTGAGGTAATTTCCATGTTGAGATAGGAGGGAGTTCACCTTGTTGAAATAGGAGGAGTGGAACAGCAGATGCTAAGCTCAGAGGTGGGAAGGGCAGTGTGTCTAGAGAGTTCTCCAGGAGGGAGAACTGTAGAGGTCAGCAAAAACCTGGATCACACCAGACTTGCAGGCCACAGATAGGATTTAGATTTTGGCTCCTAATCAAGAGGCTTTGTATGTGTCAGCCTTATCTAGAAAGCTTTCCATACATAATCTAATTAAGTTGAACTGAAAATTCTGAAAGGATACTGGGTGACTTTTGCCCAGTTTTACAGTCCAGAAAATTATAACAGGTGTCAAGAGGGAAAATCTGTTGTGGAAAACTTATAATAGCAATCACCACCATGAACTGCCAAAAGAACAGATCTGGCTTGAGGAGGGTGTAGCCAAAATGCTCCAAAGGTAGAGATGATGAAGTTTTGTCTCACGTACTTTGGGCATGTTGCTAGGAGAGGTTATTCCTTGGGGAGGGACATCGTGCTTGGAAGGGTGGACGGTCAGCAAAGCGAGTGGAAGACCGTCAACCAGGTGGATTGGCAATGGGTTCAAGTGTGAGAGATGATAAAGTTGGCACAGGAAATGACAGAGTTCAGATCTGTTGTTCATAGGATCGCTACAACAGCAACCCCTTAGAGAAACAGTATAGCAGCATTTATGAGACAAGGCTCAGAGACTCACTCGGGCAAATTCCAGCTTTGCCATTAGACCTGGGATTCCACTTCTCTGGATGTCAGTTTGCTCATCTGTAAAATGAGGATAAAATAACAGCATCCAGCTCGTGGGGGAGGGGAGAGTTGTGAGATATAAATGAGTTAAAATACTTAAGCACTTTAAATGTGGCAAATGTGATTGAGAAAGTGGATTTAATTGCAATTAAATGTAAATGGCCCTATGTTGGCCTCCCATCAGACATAGCTCTGAAATAATTTTGTAAGGTGGATGCTATTTCTCTTCCCATTTGAGAAGTTGAGAGAGTTTAAGCTGTCTACTCAAGACATGATGTTCAAGCTGTGTGATTCGAACCCAAGCTTTTGTCCTCTACCTCACCATGCTGCCTGTGTGCCAGTGATCTGCTGTGGCCTCCCATGGGTCCCCAAACCATATCCTCTTGTCTCCCTAGACGGGCACACTGCGGTTCTGCGGGACCACGGAGTTCGCCAGTGGCCAGTGGGTGGGTGTGGAGCTGGATGAACCCGAGGGCAAGAACGATGGCAGTGTTGGGGGTGTCCGGTACTTCATCTGTCCCCCCAAGCAGGGTTAGTACCAGCCAGGAAACAAGGGCCAGGGGTGAGGATGGAAGGCCTCTATTAGTGGTTCTGATGCTGCTGATCAGGTAATGGGAGTTGTGACCTGATGAGGGAGGCAAGGGGCAGAGGCTTGGAGAGTTTCTAGCACACGTTCTATCCTGCAGGTCTCTTTGCCTCCGTGTCCAAGATCTCCAAGGCAGTGGACGCACCCCCCTCGTCTGTCACTTCCACACCTCGGACCCCCAGGATGGACTTTTCCCGCGTCACTGGTAAAGGCCGTAGGGAGCACAGAGGTTAGTCGGGAAACCTTAATGGAGGGGAGATTCCGTCTTGGGGATATTCTGTGGATACCCCAGCTTCTGTGACTTGCTATCTCCTCTGACCTGAACTCTAGTTTTAGAGGCTAACTTCTGCTGTTTTTGCTTTGACCAAGTCCCATGCCCATTCAGTTCTTAGAAAGACCTGTGGGTTCCCAGCCACTGTGACTTAATTTCCCCCAAAGATCTTATAGGTTTCCTGAATTTTGCAACTTCACTTACCCTCAGATCCAAACCCTTCCTTATTTTGCATGGACAGTTTCTGGGTTCCTGAATACGGTGACCTCGTTTCTCCTTTGACCCCAATCTTAACTCTAAAAAAGGATTCCAGAGTTTTTCATGTTGTCTGACTTGGTTTCCCCAGGCCTAAAGTTTTCCCACTCTGTCTGGCTCTAGGGGTGGAATTCTCTGACATCGGGGACTCAATGTCCTTTTAAGCCCAAAGCACCCCGTTGTAGGGAAGTCTCTGACGCTCCCCTGGTTAGAGCGAGGTCAGGATGTCTACCTTGGAGCTTCGTGGTTGGCACAGGGTCTGGAGGCTTTACTCCCACCCATTACACTCTCCATACCCAGGAAAGAAGAAGTCCCCATCATCTCCGTCTCTGGGCAGCCTGCAGCACCGAGACGGGGCCAAGGCCGAGGTTGGAGACCAAGTGCTTGTGGCGGGACAGAAGCAGGGGATTGTGCGCTTTTATGGGAAGACGGACTTCGCCCCAGGTGAGGGCATGACTCTGGGCTGGGGGCCAGACAGGGCCACGAGACCATCTGACGCTCGCTCTGATGCTCGCTTGCTGCAGGTTACTGGTATGGCATTGAGCTGGACCAGCCCACCGGCAAGCACGATGGCTCGGTCTTCGGCGTCCGGTACTTCACCTGCCCTCCAAAGCATGGGGTCTTTGCACCAGCATCCCGCATTCAGAGGTGAGCTCAAACTTCAGCCCTCCCCAGTGCCTTGAAGGCCCCTCGGATGGCCTCCTCCCACCACACCCCAGCTCTTTGCTCATGGATGCTCAGACCTCACTTCTGTGGATCTGATTCCTCCCACTCTCTCTGTCTCCCCAGAATTGGTGGATCCACTGACCCTCCTGGGGACAGCAGCATAGCCAAAAAAGTACATCAAGTAACAAGTGAGTTAAGATCTGGAGTGTGGGGATACGTGTAGGTCTGAGGATAGAGAGATGGATCATGGGCTAACAGGTATATGCAGGTGACAGCCTCCTGCATGTTATTGGAGACACAGGTTCCAGAAAATGATGAGTCAGAGTCCCAGAGTAAGTAGGTGTCATAGAGACTGGATGGTCACAAGGCTTGGCAAACACTGGGGATCCAGGGTCATTTGGTATAGGGGACATGGGCAAGTACTGATGAAGGGGTGCTATTTTTTTTTTCACTGTAAAGCTGCATTTATTTGAAAAAAGCCATTTCCTAGAAGAATCAAACCATGGCAGCAACCAGCCCAAAGAACCCCTCACCTCCCTGAAGGGGTGCTATTGACAAGAAGTCCAGGGGGTATAAGCACAGATGGCAAAGGATTTAAGTGGGTGTTGGGGACAGGGATGGGTATGACAAGTGATCTTAGTGTGTATTGAGGACATAGATGGCTATTAATAGCAAAGATTTGGGTAAGCATCTGAGACAAGGCGCTGGTATTATTGCAGTGGAGTCTATGTTAGTCTGTGGTTAGGTATGGAAGACAAGGAGTCTGGGTAAGTAGTGAGGACATATTGTTTGTATCATCAAGTTGGAACCAACCCATAGCTGACCCTCCAGCGGGTTTTCTGAGATAGTAAAGTAAATCACATGGGAGTAGACTGCCCATCTTCCTTGGAGCAGCTGGTGGATTCAAACCACATACCTTTGCATTCGCGGTACAATTTTTACCCCTGAGCCACCTGTGGGAACATAAAGAAGTATTAATAACTAGGGTAGGTGGGTGTTAATGATGTGAGAACTGGGAATATAGGTTCTGAATGAGTAGAAATTAAAAGGATCCAACTGGATGTTAGAATCCCAGGCTCTATGCAGAGCTTGGAAACATGGGATGTGAGCAGGGCTCAAGGAGTTTGGAGGAGTCATGTGTCTGGGCCAGCCAGGCACATCAGGTCCAAGGGGTGATACCAAGCCCCATCATCCCACACCTCAGACCCTGCCCTTCCCTTCTCTGCAGTGATGCAGCCCAAACGTACCTTCACCACAGTCCGTACCCCAAAGGACATCACGTCAGAGAACTCCATCTCCAGGTGTGTGGCCAACCTCATCCTCTTCTGGGGGGGGTGTTGAGGAAAAAGCATCCGTAATGTCACTGGGCTTTGTGGTCTAGAGCTCAGAAGAGAGGCTAGTGCTTGAACAGGTTAGGAAAACTTGGTAAGCGTACCCAGAAACAGTCTCTGAAGGGTGGGGCCATTGTGTTTCAATGACTTCAATTTTTAAGGGTCAGGTAAGGAAAGTGGAAGACTCTCTTCTCTCTCCTCAGCCAGTACAAGCCTGAGAAGGCACAGCCAGAGAGGTAAAGAAAGGCAGGACCTAAAAGAGCTAAATTCCAAATCCTCAGAGTTGCTTGAGGGTAACAGATCCAGCTGCTCTTGCACTCCACTTCAAGTCATGATCTGGTTCTCCTTTCTAGGTTGCTCTTCTGTTGCTGGTTTCCCTGGATGCTGAGGGCGGAGATGCAGTCCTAGAGACCCTATATACTTGACAAAGAGACAACAATCCCCCTCTAGAGTCTCCTGAGACAAGGAGCCCCCAAGTCACCCTGAGATAGAGATCCCCAGTAACATCCAGAATAGAGACCCCATTAGCCAACCCTCAATCACTGAGGTCCCATTATTAACAGATTCCCTCATGAATAACTTCCCAAATACAGAACCCCCCCCATGTCACCCAGAAAGAGATTCCCCAAGTATAGCACCTTCAGGCTAATCCCTATCCCCAACTCCTTACAGCAGACTCACCCATTAACAGTTTCTATATTACCACAAATGACTGTGACCCTCTCCACATGGTACAACAGAGCTTTACTTAATCAATCATCACTGGACAGAAATCTTCCCTTTAACAAAGACCTCCCCAAGTCTGCTTGACATAAACACAGGTCATGCCTCCAAGAGGATGACCTTTGTGTCACTGTCCCCCATTTAACATAAGCACCTTTGTGACCCTGTGGTCACTGTGAAGTCCTCATATTCCAACCCCTAATCAAAGACCCATTAACAGGCTCCCGTTCTTACACCTCAAGACAAGACCACATTAATCAATTCCACATCACCCTCAATTTATTGACACCAAAACAGTCCTGGAAGTGCTAATTACAGGACCCTCAAGTCTTCCTACCCTTTGGTCCCCCAAGAAACCCCCAGTGCCTTGTATGAAGCCCCCTCCACATGGCCCACAGCCCCTGTGCTGGCCAGGTTTCCAGAAAAGTCTATTTTTAAAGTATTGAATTACCCTCCTTGGGGGGCCCCAAAATTTGGAGGCCCCATTTTGGGCCTCTGAGGATCCCAAACCCCAAAATACACATATCCTAAATTTCCCGGTGCTCTCAAGTCCTACAACCCCAAGAAGACCCCAAGGCCCTAACTCCCAGGTACTCCAAATCATTGAAATCTCCAAATCCCCAGGGAATCCCAAACATAGAAATGCAATCCCAAATCCCCAAGAAGCCCCAGTCATGGAGATCCTTGTGCCTAGGATGGAAGAGACCACAGTCTGGGCCTATACATTCCAGCCTCCCAGGGCACCTCAATCCCTATTCATAGGCCCCAGGAGACCCTAAATGGAATTTCCACCCTTGGAAACAAGGATTCCTGTGTGGATTCCAAGGATCTGAATACATTCAAACTCTAAGAGCCCTAGCCCTAATGGAACCCCAGATCCTAAAGTTTCCATCTCCCAATACACGGATGGCCCCAAGGCCCTGAGAGGATACCCAATTCTGGAGCGCCTGTTTGAATCTACCTTCCGGTCATAGGCCGAAGACACCGAAACTGAGTCCCCAAGGACCTCACAGCAACTGGGCCCGATCAACAGCATGAGGGAAAATCTGAAGGTCCAAGGAGTCCTGGGCGGACCTGGGGCCCTGACCATTGAGGACAGCTCACAACTGCCCCTTCACTGCATGTCCCTAGACTCAGCATGATCCCTCCCTCCTCAATAAAGACGTTTCTATGGCCTCTCTGTGTCAGATTAGTGGAGGTTTAATGCCTTTGTTTCTGTATCCTTCTTGGGTAAGGATGAAAGAGGAAAAATCTTTATTCTCAACCCTTGGGGCAAGGACACAAGATGGTCTAGCGTGAGTCCATAGTCCTAGTAGTTTGTGCACTGTCCCTCCCTACTGTCACTTTCTGCTCATTGGCGCGCTCATGGCCGCTTTTGTGCCTCTGATTGGTCGATGTGAGTTTCACTCTCCTAGTGGGCAGGAAGCTCGACCTATATCCGTAGACGAAAGTGGAGGGGGCGGGCGGTTCAGTGAGTGCGCTAATTGGGTGGAAGGCGGGCCCATAATGTTTTGGGGAGTTTGCATTGGTCAAATGCAGAGCGGAAGTGGCTGGGAAAGGCTCGGAGGGAGTTGAATTTGGAATTGAGGGACGCTGTGGTGACCGGTCAGTGTTGGAGGTGGTCAGAGATGGAGATGGGGGCTTTGGGGTATCCGGGGTAGCTGAGTGTGGGAGTTTGAGGAAACTCAAGATATGGGGTCCTGGAAGACTCAATGGGACGTGCAAGGGGTTTTGGGGAGGTGTAGGAGGTTTGAAAACTGTTAGACTCAGTAGTGCTGAAGCGAGCTGGGCTCTAGCGACAGGGAACTCCGTCCAGTGTGCAGAGGTTCCAGGAGGCTGAGAACAGACTAAGATGGCTCAAACTGGGAAGAGAAGACTTAACTAGGGACTCAGAGGGGACTTGAGGCTGAAGGGAGAGTCCATGGGGGTCGTGAGTGTTAGAGAGCCCGACTTGTGGTTGCATGTTTGAAGTTTTTAGGAGAGGTTTCAACTTGAGGTGCTTAAAGGTATTCTCCAGTGCATACCTGGAAGCCATCTATTTACAGAGAAATTGAGAAAGATTCCCTGTGTATTGGGGGGTGCCGGGTACTCAGTATGTCTGGGCAAGGAACCTTGGGGCTCAGTGTGTAGCTTTAGAGACTCTGAGGACGTAGGTTTTAGAGGATGAGTTTCTCAAAAGGGGCGAAGTGAAGCCCTAGCCCTTGATGGGGGAAAAGGCAGGTTCATGGCCTGAGAGTGGGAGGCTTGGTGACTCTAGTGTGTCCTGTTCTGCCTACAGATCAGGGTGGTGCGGAGTTGGTGTCAATGGAGGAGCAGGACGCCAGGGTCTCAGTCTTGGAACCATTCAGGGTGGAGCAGGTTGTTAGATGGGGCATGCAGGGGGCAGGAGGGCCAGGGTGGAGGTGGGACTAGACAAACTGATTCGTGGCTTTGTGGGCTGAGGCGTTCTCAGAATCCTCAGTGGGTTTTGATCCTGAGACTTCAGTATCCAGCCTGTATGGGGATCCCAAATTCTTCCTCAGAGGGAGGTGCTCTTCAGCAGTGATAGGACCCAGGTGTGGCTTGAAAAGCTACACCTTCAGGAAGGGGTCTCTCTATCCTAGGCACCACCTGTCATCTACTATGTCCCTGACTTCATCTCCAAGGAGGAAGAAGAGTATTTGCTTCGACAGGTGTGACCCCTGTACCCTCCTGGTCTATCCCTCCCTTCCCAGATCCCTCCTCACCCCCAGTCCTCATGTATGGGGGTCCCCAGGCTGCAGAAGACTTGGTGGGAAGGCAAATGTCACATAGCACCCCACCCCCTTTACTGGTTCCCCTCTCAGGATCTGATGGAATCTGTCAGAGCTTTTCCTAAGAGGCCTAGGGAAACCAAGCTGATCTTTGGAAAGGAGATGCTTATCATAGGGCTCAGACTTATGCACTGAGATAGCCTCAGAATGAAGAAGCTACTAAGATTATAATCCTTGTGCTAGAATGTTGTTATGTGCCAGCAACTTAGAATTGGCTCATAGCTGACCGTCCATTGGGTTTTCAGAGGCTGAAAATTGCATGGCTGGAGATTGCTCAAATTCAGAGGTTGGTGAATTTTAACCACCTACCTTTGGGTTGTCAGCACACCACTAAGGCACCAGAGCACCCATTCTGCTTGAATTTGTTTTGTTTGTTTTTTGTGTACCATAGAGTCAGAACTGAACCATAGCTGACCCTCTGGCAGGTTTTCAGAGGCAGTTAATTGTACTGGAGGAGATTGCTCATCCTTTTTCTGCAGAGCGGCTGGTGGCCTGGAACCACATGCCTTTTGGATTGCAATGCAGTTTCTTGCCACTAGTCCTGTGCAATCCCAGAGTCCCAGGAATAAAGACGTTGCAGAGCCTGTGCCGCTATGCTGACAGCCCAGTCCTGCTTATTTAGAGAAAAGGTTATAAGCATAAGCTGAGATCTCCCAGTTCAGACTCTTGAAATTTGAGGAATGCCATGTTTGCAGTGTTCAGGTTTCTGTGCTGAGGAACTAGAATGTTACAGAGGTTCCCCGTGCTGATGTAACTCAGTGTAGACCCAGAGTCTTCCGTACGCGGTCGACAAGCACGGAACATCCTGCTGAGATAACTCACCCAACATTATTAAAATCTGGGGCAAAAGAATTTATAAAGCTCAGAGTCCCTGCAGTGGGATAGCTCTTTGCAAGCCCAGAGCTTTAAGAATGAGGTTACAAAGTATGATTTTCTCCATGCTGTGATATCTCAGTCTACCTTGCACCCTAGGAACAAGGTGAATTACAGAACCCCAACTCTTGTGCTGAGATACTCTACTCCACAGGTTCTTGGGATTGAAGAAAGTAAGTTCTCACAATCTATAGGTTCCAGGAGCACTGCACAGCCCCATAGCCATGAGGTTTCATGATATTATAGACTATAGTTTTCTTGTATTGAAGTAGCCCATTCTAGACCCTTAGAATCTTGACAGTGGATGATTTTCAAAATTCATAACTGAGTTTCCCAGTTCAGCACACTTCCTCCCCCAGGCAATGAGTCAAGAAGGTTCCAGAGTTCAGACTGTGCTGACACAGCCCAGAAATCAGGAATTTACAGAATGCAGACTTATTCGTTCTGCTGGCAGAACTCAGTGCAGCCCCCACAGCTATGAGTAGACGTGGACTGTGTGCAGCTCTGGGGCTCTCACCGGGCTCCACAGGCTCAGAAAGACTTTGGGGTCAGAGGTCTCTCCAGGGAAGAAGGCACCCAGCACACTCCTGGGAGTGCACACCCCAGAGAACAACCCTACAGACACTGAGATACCCCATTTCTGCTGTCCATGTTGGCCTAGATGGGAGAATCAAAGTGGAGTGGTCTCCAAAAAGGAGTAATAACTCCCCCTGCCCCCAGGTCTCCAATGCCCCAAAGCCAAAGTGGACCCAGCTCTCTGGGAGGAAGTTACAAAATTGGGGTAAGTGGCCCTAGTTGGCAGCATGAGTGATTTGGGGATGTGAACTGGGCCTTGGGGCTCAGGTCAGATTGTTTCAAGTTGTTGGGTATCCTTAAGAGTTCACTGGGTCCTTAGAGGTCAGTGGAGGCCCTGAGGGGTTAAGTTGCTGATGACTTGGAGGTACTTCTCAAAGGGGTCTGGAGAAGTCAAGGAAGCCTGTAAGGGTCAGGCAGTCATCTTCACAGGGTCAGTGGAGCCGGTCAGGGTGCTGTCAGCCCCCTGGGCCATCACTTATGGGGGCTTCAGGTTTCAAGGACCTTAGAACTGTATTGTCCTCCTCAGGTGGGCTCCCTCACCCCCGGGGAATGGTCCCTGAGCGGCTGCCACCATGGCTTCAACGTTACGTGGACAAAGTGTCTGACCTCAGCCTTTTTGGGGGTCTCCCGGCCAACCACGTCCTCGTGAACCAGTATTTGCCTGGGGAGGGCATCATGGTAACTACACCCCAAAAACCCCAGCTCACCACAGCCCTCCAGATTCCTGGCCCACCACAGGGCAGACTTTATGTTTACCCCCCCAGCACATCCATCAGGTAGCCACATATGCCAATTAAGCATTCATCTTTCTGTCCCCGCTTTGGGATGGGAGCCCCCATAATCCTAGAGGGTGGGAGGGTTGTGTGGACTCCCGCCTTACCAGCCCTGGTCCCACTCTCCAGCCCCACGAGGACGGGCCACTGTACTACCCGACCATCAGCACCATCAGTCTGGGCTCCCACACCATGCTGGATCTCTATGAGCCGCGGCAGACGGAGGAGGATGACGACCCTGCAGAGCCGGTGGGTCCCGAGATGCTGCCCCAACCATCGGGGGCTGCTCCAGCATCCTGCCCCTCCCGGGGCTCAGCCACATCCTTCCAGACTTCCCATCAGCGGGCAGGGTGCTCTAGGTGCAGTAATGTTCACAGATACCCGAGTGCTCCTATTGCATGAATGCTCATAAACCGCACGTATCCCCTAACCTTGTAGGCTCAGAGTTCCCCAAGAGCCCGAGATCCACACATACCCCATGTGCCCTGACAAACACTGTATTCTCACCCCAGTGCCATTCACTCATGGAATGTTCCAGAATCCTCCCAGATACGTTGATTCTGCCCACTACAGAGTACCCCAATGTTAGTATCCTCCCTGCCATTCCAATAATAAGGTCTGTGGTACTTCTTTGCATGTTTTCACGTGACTTGCTTAGGGACACCCATGTATCGCCATATCCTGACTCCCCTTTGTCCAAGTTGTTCATGACAACAGCTTCCTAACTTCTTCCACCCAGGGATCCATTTCAGGTGCCCAAGTGTTCGCTGAAACCTTGGGACATGCGCTGCCCCAGCCAGGTCCTAGTTGACAGTATACTCAGCCTTAACTGAGGAGGCTGTTGTTTTCCTTGGGGCGCTGCTGTTCCCCATCCTACCCCAGTCTTAGCCACTTGGCGGTGGAAGCTGCAGCCTTCTAGGGCCCACTGATTTTTGGATGCCCACCTCCAGGCTAGTACTCACCTCCACCTGAGGAGCTGCTGACCCCTCACACCTCCTTTCCCTGGCTCAGTACCCACTGATTGTCACGATCCCTGGGACCAAGCTTGTCCACGGACAGAAAGTTGGCTGACCCTGCATTCGCTCTGCAGCCGCGGCCCCCACCCAGGCCCACAACCTCACTCCTGCTTGAGCCCCGCAGCCTGCTGGTGATCCGGGGCACTGCCTACACACGCCTCCTCCATGGCATCGCGGCCACCTGCACAGATGCGCTTGATGGCTCTTTACCACCCAACGCGACCTCCTGCCCAAGAGCGCAGCCCGGAGCCCGCCTGACCCGCGGTACCCGCGTCTCCCTGACCATCCGCCGTGTGTCCCGCGTGCTGCGCACCAGCCTCCTCCTCAGCAAGTAAACTGGACTTAATGGGCAATGATCCTCTGACCTTGGGGCCCTGGGACAGAGGTGGTTGCTTGGGTTATTATTTGCCAACAAATTGTAGTTGCCACCCAAAAAAGACTATCTCAAATAAACTGAAAATACCGTTCTCTGGTTTTAGATTTTTTGGGATGGGGACCAGATTCTTGCATTCTTGATGGGTGCTGCAGCTGGCTTTTAAGTGGATGGGGTCCTGACAAAGTTTGCAAGATTTTGTCTGAAATCCTCTTAGGATAGAGTAAGGTGTATTTGGGAGACTCAGTACCTGAGGAGCGGATATTGTTTGCCGTTGTTGGAATTGACCCATAACTGACCCTCCAGTGAGTTTTCATGGGAGGAGATTGTCCATCCTTCTATCGAGGAACAGCTGGTGGATTCAAACTAGTGCCTTTGAGATTGAAGTGCAGCTTCTTACCAGAGTCACCAGAGCTCCCTACCCGAAGGGGTGGAAAGAGTTAAGTGGTGCTCTTGTCACCTGGGCTAGGTATCAGATTACCTGGGTCCTGTTTCCTTTTGGATGGGGTAGAGCCAGGCCCCCACTTGCGCTTCTCTGCCTCTGGTGCAGGTAAGCTCTGAGATGGAGGTCTTGCGGAACATCCATGACTAGGAAAAAGGCTCTTTTACTAAGACATTCCTCTGGTGGCTTATTGGTAAGAAATCGAGCTGCCATCACAAAGGTACGTGGTTTGAATGTGCTGTGGGAGAAAGATGCGGAATCAACTCCTTTGCAATTTACTGCCTTTGAAAACTACTAGGGGGTCCTCACCTGACTTGTTTGTTTCTAGGCCCCCAACTATGGCCCTGCCCCTACCTCCAGACCCTAGATCCCAACAAGAGCCTCTCAGCTACCCCCATGGAGCCCCTAGGGAACTGGATATTGTCAGGTGCACCATCAACTCTTCATCTGAAGAGGAAACCCACAGGTGGGATCTGGGACCACACCTGAGAAGGTGGGGGCATGGCCAGAGGATAAGGGAGGGTGGAAAATGCTATGACTGAGCACCTGGAGCTGTTTGAGGTAGTTTGGGATAAGGGTGGGGCAAGTGAGTAATAGGAACACTGATGCTCACCCAGGGGTCCGTTAAATACCCCCACTCCAGGCCAGAGCAGGCCCAGGAACTGAGGCCGGACTCCTTGGACCCTCTTGAGCACTTCTGTGGTGGGCCAAGACGTACAGAACCTGTGACCAGCACCCCCCGACTGCCAGCACCCTCTTCCCACCAAGACCTAGCCAGGGGCAGACACTGCGAGGTGAGCTGAGACAGCCCAGGCATTTGTGGCAACTGTCACTTCCTCTTGGTCCCCCAGAATTTAACCTCTACACCAGGGATGCAGTAGTGATTCTAGAAAATGGTGAAGGGGGATGCTGAGTAGCTCAGGCAAAGAGTTCTTTACTAAGCAGTAGACAAATGTTAATAATGTTTTGCCAGATGGGATAGAAGCATTGCCCTGTCACTCCATCTGTCTAAATCTCCAGGCCTAGTTTATAGGAGCCTTGAAAACCTGGAGACCTTGAACTTGAGGTCCCCAAGTCAGCTCCAGTGGCAAGGACCCCAGGTAGGAACTGCCCAGTTCTGATAAGATGTAGACATGGACTGTGATGCCAAAAAATCATTTCAAAGGAAGAAACCTACAGAAAGGGGGTGAGAGTGGGGGTCTTGGTCAGCCCACTGGTCCTGATTCGGCCTCCTGTATTCCCTAGCACCTCATCTTTAGCCGAGAGGCACTGGAGGTTGAGCAGGACCTCTGCTTGTTTGGGCTGGGCCTTCAGCTGCTGGACCTGGATCGGAGCCTGGGGCCCTGGGAATTGGCCCAGAGTGGACTGGTTCCAGTGCAGGTGGGCAGAGCCCTGGAGGTACACGTGAGTTCCGTGAGGTGGAAAATGAGGGGTTATTCCAGCTCCAAGACTTTGAATAGGAACTGAGGGGTTGGTGCTGTAGATGCCAAGTCTTAGCCCCAGAGTATGTATGGGGTGTCATGTCCAACCGTGTGTCCACAGGCCCTACAGGCAGACCTCCGCAGAGCAGCCCAGTGTGTGGACACACTACTGGCATTCAGTGAGGTGCTGGCCCAGCGGGGTGAGCTTCAGGCCCCGGCACCCCTGGAGCAGGTCCTGAGGGTCCTTAGAACCCACCGAGACAGCATCATGCGGTGGCTGTGGCAGTTGCAGGCCAAGCTGGTCAGCTATCGCCTGGTATGTTCCAACCTGGTGGCCCCTGGCCTGGGCCCCAGTCCCAACCCCCATGACCTCTGTCTTCTGATCCAGGTGTTTGAGGAGGTCAACAAGCTGGACCAGGACTTGGAGGCTGAAGGGGACTCAGATGGGCCAGGACATGGTGGAGTTTGGGGACCCTGGACACCCAGTGGCCTCTCTACTCCTATAGAGCTAGAGTGGGACCCCGCAGGAGATGTGGGGGAACTTGGGCCCTTGGGCCGAAAGGCAGCTAAAGCACCAGGGACCCCTTGTGAGCTGTGTGGCCACAAGGGCCCCTGGGGCACAGGACAAGACTTCGAGGTGAGAAGTGGGAAGCAACTGTGTCAGGTACCACAGGCCACATCTGTGTGTCCTAGCACCTCTGTGTACCTCCTAGCAGGGCTCTTCTTCAAGGAGCACTCGCTTCTCTGCCTCTCCATCTCTGTCTTTGTCTCTCACTGGTCTTTGATGTCTGAATGTTCTTCCTTTCTCCCTGTCTTCGTTTTCTTCTAGCTCACTCTGTTTCCCACTCTCCCAGCTGTCTAGCCACATCCTCAGCTTCATTTCTTCTCACTTTCCCTGTTACTTACCCCACTGCAGCTCCACTAGCCACCTGGCTCTCCTTCAAATGTTCCTAATTCAATGCCATCTTCAAGCCACTTCATTCTGGGCTCTGCTCCAAGGTCACCTCTTCAGAGAAGTGTGTCCTGGCCACCAGGCACCATCACTCCTTGTCATTTTACTGCTTTTATTAATGGTCCTTAACACATCTTGACATACATTTACTTGCTAATTTCTGGTTTCTCTTCTGCTAAAATTTAAGCTTTGCTCATTTCCACCATCATTGACTACCCAGTAGATTTCTTCCTGGTCTGTAATAGACCCTCATTAAATATTTATTTGATGAATAAATAAATAACCTCTTCTCAATTTATTTGGTTCTGCCCTTCTCTGTACCTCTTCCCTTAGAGCTCTCTCTTCCTTCCAATCTCCTCTCCATGGCATTCCCATCCCAGGCATGCTCCAACTTCAGGCCTAATTGTTACTGGCTTTCCAAGGATCTCACACTTCCTTTTAACAGGACATGCTCATGTTGGGACGCAGTCACCGGAAACACTTAGCAGGCTACAGAAGATGTTCCCGGATCCCGAAGCCTCAGGTGAGCTGGACGTCAGCCAGGTCAATTGCACAGAAATCTTGGTGGCAAGTGACAGAAAAACAGTCCAGATTGAATTATGGGGGGGGGGGGGGGTATTTATGTCGTTAAACAATCAAGGGACTGTGGAATTCAGGATACTCTCAGGGCTCATTCCCACCATCTCTTGGCAGCCCTTCTCCTTCTTGTAAAGAAATGACAGCCCCAGGAACCATCCCCTCACTTCCCATTGGCTCATCCACTCCTCTCTCACCTGCTAGAGTTAAAACCCCAGGGCTGACTCTCCTTTGTCCAGCTTGAGTGTCTGTGGCTAAGGTGGTGGAGCATTCTGATTGGCCAGACCTGGATCACATGTCAGTCACAGAAAAGGTGGGGAGATGGAGAGTTCCCTGCACCTGCTGCACCAGAAGGCCTGACTGCCCTGCTCCCCAAATTGAGTCACTGTTACCAGGAAAAACACTTGAATGTAGGGCAGGCACTCAAAAAAATACCTTCTTGGCGGTAATCCAAGGACGGAGGGGTGTGCTAGGAGAGGCACCTAAGCCCAATTTGGTAGGTCTATAGTCAAACCCACTGCCATTGAGCCAGTTCTGACTCATGGGGACCCTCCACCAGGTTTCTGAGGCTCTCTTTACGGAAAGAGAATGCCCATCTTCATCTCCCTTTGAGAGGCTGGCAGATTTGAATCACAGACCTTTCAGGTAGTAGCCCGATATGCTATGATCATGGCATGATCAAGTCTGTAATCACTCACTCACTCATTATCCTTGAGTTAGAACCAGCTCACAGCTAACTAACTCCCTAATGGGTCTCCAAGGTGGTAAATTACATCTCCCTCCCATGGAGCCACTGGTTTATTTGAACCAGCTGCAAGGCATAACCTTTGTGTTGGCAGCACAACTTCCTACAGATAACCCACCAGCACTCCCTGGGCCTGTGGATCCCCCCCATCAGGCTGTTAACCACTGTCTACCTTTAGGACATGAAGAGGCAAGCATCCGCTAGTCCCCAGGATGTCATGCTGGAGGTGGATCCGAGGTGAGATGCTTGAGAGAGGATTGGAGGTGTAGGGGCCAGGGCTCTGGGGGCATCCTACTCATGTGTCTAACAGTGTATTTCCCTTCGCAGAGCTTCTGCTCCTGTATCCAGATGGTCTTTGACCTTCCTTCTCCTTCTCCTCTTTCTCCTGATGGCTGCCACACTGCTCTTGCCCACTTCAGGGGGACTGTGCTGCACTCAGAGTCAACTGGCCAGGTCACCCTATTTGGTGCTAAACTACATCAATGGTCCCCCACCAACCTAAGAACACAGCACAGACACATGGAATAAATGTTGACAGCTGAATGGTGTGTGAGGAGGATCCAGAATCTAGTACAAGGTCCTGATGTGACTCATCAGGCTGAGGCATTCTCATGCCTGATGGGACCTCCTTCCCTGAACGCACACACCCTCCTTTCTCCACAGACTTTGAGTACAGAACCTGTCAATTAGCCTGTCTTGGTTTGGAGTTCCTCAGACCTTGAGACAAACCATCAAGCACACATGGTTTATTCTTGAGATGACCCTAAGGAAGATTGAGAGAGGAGTGGGGAAGTGAGTACAGGGTGAGTGAGATGAACCAGTTGCTGTTCTGAGCAACTAGGGTACCATCCATCTGTAGAGGCTTGTGTACATGCTCAAAATTGTTCACAGGCTGATGAAGGCATGTCCTAACGTCCATCCCTCATTGACCAAGCATGATCTTGGAGATATTAACACCTTAGAGTTTTATCTTGTAAGACCCTCAGCCCAAGAGGCACTGTGCTTGCCACAGGAAGTTAGCAGCATGTCCAGGTGTAGAGGTCATAAGATGAGGGCAAAGTGCCAAAGTCCTGCTACAGCTTCCAACCTGCATACAGACAGGGGCTTCACTCAAATATTCTTTGTGGTGAGTTCCTGGGCTGGACCATTATTGTCTTTTTTGTTGATTGCCTTTGAGTCGAGCACAACTCATAGCGACCCTACAAACAAAAGCCCTGAAGCCCCTCTACAACTATCAACATTTACTAAAGTTGTTGTTGTTGAGTGCCATCAAGCCAAGTGTGACTCTGTGAACAACAGATCTGAACCCTGTCATGTCCTCGGCAATCCTCACCACATCTGACATACTTGAACCCACTGCTGAATCACTGTGTGAATTCATGTGGTTGAGGGTCTTCCTCTCTTTTGTCAACCCTCCACCTTTTCAAGCATGCTGCACCTCCAAGGAATAGAATCCTAACATGCCCAAAGAACGTGAGACGAAGCTTTGCCATCTTTGCCTCCAGGGAGCACTCTAACTGCACCTTCTCCAAGATTTTTCCAGAGGCATGTTGTTTAGGAAGTGGTACTCCTGCTTCCAGATCTGACCACAGTATGTCACTGTTGTGCCACGGAATTGCCTGCAATGTATAGTGACCCTTTGTACAGCAGCTGAGCCCTTCCCTGTTCTGAGCCAGTCTCACTAATTCCGACAAACCAACCCTCATCGCCCCAGTTACTGTATCAATCCCTCTCACCTGGGTCTTCCTCTCCTGTGCTGTCCATCGACCCTTCTGAGCATGATGTCTTTCTCCAAAGACCGATCTCTTCCAGACATGTACCCAAAGTAAGTGAAGCGGAGCTTCAAAATCCTAGAAGACTACTAGCCCCAAACCTCAAAATCAAACCCAGTGCTCTTGTTTTGACACTTTGACTTCATCTTTCTTGGCTCTATAATCAGTACACTTGCTATCAGCAGCCTGGAGATCAGGAGATGTATTGTCTGAGAAAGTCTGCAGTCAAGAACCTCTCCAAACTATTGAGGAGTAATGATGTATGTCAGTTTGAGGACCAAGCTGCACCTGATTCATCCATGGTCTTTTCAATCATTTGCTACTTCTGAGAGCTGGACAATGAATAAGGATGACAGAAGAATAATTGGTGCCTTGGAGCTGTGCTGTTGGAGAAGAGTACTGAATATCCCATGGACTGCCAAAAGAACAAACAGATCTGTCTTGGAGAAGGTGCAGTTAGAGTGCTCCCTGAAGGCAAAGATGGCAAAGCTTTGTCTCACGTTCTTTGGGCATGTTAGGATTCTATTCCTTGGAGGTGCAGCATGCTTGGAAAGGTGGAGGGTTGACAAAAGAGAGGAAGACCCTCAACCACATGAATTCACACAGTGATTCAGCAGTGGGTTCAAGTATGTCAGATGTGGTGAGGATTGCCGAGGACATGACAGGGTTCAGATCTGTTGTTCACAGAGTCACACTTGGCTTGATGGCACTCAACAACAATAGCCTTCAAGTTGGCTCTAGCTCATAGGGAACCTAAAGGACAGAGTAGAACTATCCCATAAGGTTTCCAAGGTTATAAACCTACAGAAGCAAACCACCACATATTTCTCCTGTGGAAGAGATCGTGAATTCAAACTGCTAACCTTTTGGTTAGTAGCTGAGGACTGTAACCACTACTCTACTCCTTATTGGCGCAAAGCTCTAATTCCCCTTTCCTATGTCTTGACAACAGTTTTTGAGACTACCCTCCCTCACCACTGGTTCAAATGAAAATGGACATTTATTTTTGTGGCTTACTCTAAAGATCAGGACTTCAGCCACGGCTAGATCCAGGAAGCTAAAATGGCATCTCCATTTCTCTTTTCTTTTGGCTTCATTTGTACCCTAATGCTGGACAGGGTGTCCCTCAAAACCATGAGGAATACCCAAGATCAGTTTAGCAGCCAGTAAGTCACCTCCCAGTTACATTTTCAACCAAAGATACATGCTGGTTCCTTTGGCATGGGTCACATATGTTTATCTTTGCCAAAGGCTGCAGCCAGCTCTGCCTAAACCATATGGACTGACAGACTGATAAGGGAGAGGAATAAGTCACCAATAAAACTAGAAGGCTCTTACCAGAGTGGAGAAACAGATTCTAAGAGTGAATTTGAACGGCTAACCTTTTTGTTAGTATACTAACAGATAATAAGGATAGGAGGAAGCAGCAGGTTTTTGGAAAAATCCCAGGTTCAGGGCCAAGTCTGCATGTGAACCTGGCTCTGCCATTTTCAAAGAACAAGTCTCTGTCCCGTCAAGGAGTTGTGGTCTCCCTGGGTTCACCTAGGAATAGATAGATGGACAGAACTTTGGCTGCATTGACCCAACAGCCTAGGTAATAGAGCAGATCTGTATTATTGGTTCGTTCATTCATTTGTTGAACAGATAAAGACTGCGAGCTTGCTATAGGCCAGGTCCTACTTAAGGAACCAGGGAGCTAGTTAAGGAACTCTTGTGGCATGGTCTGTAGAGCGTTGCACTGACTTAAAAGTCGGACAGTGCAGCTTTGAGGGAGAAAGGCCGGTGCCCTCTTCTAGTGTAACTCATAATCTCAGAAAACTGGTTACAGGGTCAACTATGAGTTGGCCCTGACTTGATGGAAATGGGTTTTGAGGTCAAGGGACCAGGAATATGGCCATGAACCAGAGACAAAAGTCCTTGTCCTTGTGGAACTGACATTTTAGTGAGGGCTGTGGACAATAAATAGAACAGCCAAGTGAAATGTGTGGATCAGAGGTGATAAGGAGGAAAAAGGAGGGTTTGTACAATTTGATTACAGTGGTTGAAGAGGAAAATGGTAGATCACAGTAGTAGAAGAGAAAAATACCCTCCCGTACAATCACAGCCATGGGAACCCACTGGAGGGCCAGCTTTGAGTCAGTTCTGACTCTGCAGCAATGACTTCTAAGGTTTTTGTTTTGAGGAAGGTTTTTGTATCAGGGAAGGAATTCTGTCATTATAACACATCAAGCCACATGACTTTCTAGAGCAGCTCTGTCCAATAGAAATATGCAAGGTGCACATGTGGGTTAAAATTTTCTATAGTGATGTTTATTAGTAGTTGTTAAGTACCATCAAGTTGGAACCCATAGCTGACCATCCAGCAGGTATGCACCTTTCTCCCATGGTGCAGTTGGTGGATTTGATCCATGTGCCTTTGGGTTGGCAGCACAATTCCTTTAACGACTTATTCTGTTTCCTTCAATGTGTCCAAAATACTATCACTTCAATATGTAATCAATATAAAAAGAATTGATTGTACAAACCAACCAACCTGTTACTATCAAGTCAATTCCAGCTCCTCTGTTAGTCCTGTTACAGAATGGCACTGCTCTGTAGCATTTTCTTGGCTGTAACTTCTGGGGACGCAGGTCACCAGACCTCTCTGTTGGTACCTCGAGGTAGGTTTGAACTGTCAAACTTTAACTTAGTAGTAAACTATTCTGGATGTTTCTATGATGGTCTTGAATCATGTAAGTTTCAAGTCACTTTCATGGTTTCAAAATTTGAATATGGGAACATTCTAATATGAATTTAAGAAACAGAGCTATATCTTTGTGAGCTTCTCTTACACTTAAATTGTTATTTAGAAAACCTCTGATCACAGACTTAAAAGAGCATGAATGTAAACAATTTCTAAGTTGTCTTTGACCAGTCATGTTGTGATAAAAGAAAACATAATTACTCCTTGTAAATTAGACTTGAGATATAAGACTAATCTCCCATTTGGCTAATCTCCCAGCCTGGGGAGATTATAGTCTTTGATAACACAATTCTTATTATGTGAGGCCACAATAGAGAGTTCATCTAAAAAGATTCTGCTCATTCTCTGAGAGAAGACAAAACAAACTGCCTTCTAAAATCTGACCCTCAGAAGGAAGAACCAAAACTCTGGACTGAGATTCTGTCTGCTAAAAATCCCTGTCCTCAAACCATTGCTATGAGGCATTTCCACCAGGTTTGAACTGTGGTCCATCCTGTCACTAAGAACACTCATAATAGGTAAAATAAACCCTAAAGATTAGGACTCTTAACCACTAAATTAATATTGTCATTGTTAATTTTTAATTTTCTGGTCGTAAATTAATGCCTTGAGATGTTATTTCATGCCTTCCTGTGACTATCTTGCAAAAAAACTAGACAAGTTGATGCATGACAAACCTGAACAGTTTCTTTTCATATCCACATTTTTAAAAAATTGTGATTGGAGTGAAAACATACAGAGCTAATTGGTTTTCCATTCATCCACTCACACACATTTTATGATGATTCCCACAGGTCAGCTGCTCACTTCTACATGTGACTCATTTTCATTAATCCTCCTTTACTACTCCTTCCTGCCTTGTGAGTTCTATCCTGAACATGTGCTGCCCTTTTGATCTTGGTTGGTTGGTTGGTCTAAGAGTGAGCACCTCCCTGGTGTTCTTCTTCACCTTACAGGGTCTATCTGTTGGATGAAAGTGAGCAACAG